CATTTGGAAAATATATGATACAGCCGTTAGCAGCAGCAGCGCGCCTAATATGCCTGGCCTGACATTAAAAAGCGTAATTAACATTTATTAAAGCCTTATTCACACTGCAACTAACACAAATCTTCAATCATTATTATGATTGCACTGCACGCATAGTTTTGTCGGGCAAATTTATGGTGTGCTGAGATAGCATTTTTTGACATTAAAATCCCAAGAGCATCTGTTGATATGCACAAAACATATAATCGATAATCTATCGTTCAATAAATCCCGGGACAGAAACAAAGAAATGCCAATCACGAAACGGTAAAATTCAAGTGACAAAATTTTAATGACATTTTGATGAGTCGCTTACGGGTTGTAATGGTTGCAGAAAGAGTGTTACTTTCATTATTTGATTGACTCTTGGAGGGAGAAAATATCATTCAATCGCAGCATTGGTTTGAAAGGTGCTATTTGCTGAATTTAAGCAATGTCAATGATGTCAATGGGGGTGATTACACTAGAAAAAAATCTTACAAATTATTCCCGATATTCTCGATAATCGGGAAATGCAATTGCAAAAGAAAGTGACATAGTACAGATATCAAAACGTAATCTACTCAATATTTTATAGGAAAATTTGGGTGGCGGAGCGCTGTTTACCGAAAGAATACAGCGGCTACTTACAGTGGCACATAGATATCGTGTCACCCGTCCATTGTTGATGTTAAAATCGGAATTGAGGACCCACGCGCCAGATAATAATTTGCTTGTAAATGTTTATTCAAATGTTGTTCGACGAAAAAAGTTTTGGATCAAATAATGAGATCATTGCAGAATCCGAAGGGTGTTTTAGACGTCTTGACAAATCGCTCTATAAAAAATTGTATCATCCTCTTGAGATAATTATAATAATATTTGCCACTTAGTGTCGGAAACTTTTCAGTGAGCATACATACATATATGCGTGCATATGTCCACCTACGCATACACATGCATACATGCTCGTATGTGGCCTGTATGTATATAATTATGTATGCATATGGCTAATCGAGTGCTATATACTCATAAAAGTCAATTTGCATTTATTTAACAAATGCAAACATAATTATTTAATTGAAAGCATATGACGATGAGAAAAATTTATTACAGTGTAAATGTTTTTCGTCATCGCTGTGTTTTGCATTAGAATTCGCTGGGTTGACATTTGAATTTGAAATTGGCATGGCATTCGTTTCGAAGGAAGTATGCAAGCAATAGTTTATTTGAATATGTAATTACGATACATGTTCACTTGTTTGTTGTCATCTCTGTTATTGACTGAAAACTTTCGCCCTCAATTTTTAATCTAAAAACGAAAATCGAATAAAGAGCATGCATATATATCATCACAAAAAATTATTACTTAAGCAGTAATTCTTGCTTCTTGAAATCGCCATTAAATGCATAAGATAAGATGACGCATAATACAGATAAATTCTGATAAGTGGATTAGAGAAATTAATCAGAAAATACGGGAACTAAAAATGTGTTTCATTTTTGTAGATGGACAGACGGACCGACACTGTCACAATCAAAAGCATTTCAAACTTTACATTGAGATAGCTTCTTCTTCTTCTTCTTTTTTTTTTTTTTTTTTTTTTTGTTTCTCTCACCTTTTTCATTACATTGTATATAATCTCGCAAACAAACATTAAGTCTGCGCTTGAATGTGTGTCGGTGTGTCATCATAACGGCATTCATACAAAACATAAAAATTGCTTATCAGCAAAATCATCGCATACCATATTTTGCGGTGCTCGGCTTTAATTTAGTTTAAGTTTTATCATAACGTATCATATTATCATCAATGTCGTATTACAAACTAATATGAAACCTCTTGCAAACAATGCATTTGCATTTATCTTATCATTTGCACCTATCGTTCGTTCGTTTATTCTCATTACCGTATTTTCTCCAAGCTTCCCTTAATGAAAAGTTTTAAGATAATAAGTTATCTTTGCCGTTTTATCATTTTTTCAAACGGAATGTCGCGTATACTCAATGAAAAACGTATTTATTCCTATTAGTGAATTTACCTTTATCTACCTGGAAATATATATATATATATATATATGTTTACATATATAAAAATATTTCATTAAAGTAACGCTTAAATGGTTTATTAAAAATAATAATAATAATAATAATAATCAGTAAAAGATTCCTGTGTACATATATACATACATATGTAGATGAAATTGTAGAATTAATATAAATTACATACAAATGAAAAATGGTAAAAATGTTGGACTTGGATCGTCACGCAAATTGTCCGCTGTGGGAAGCGTTGGCATCAAAAAACGTCCCATGGACTGGCATGCGATATGCTTGTCTAAATGTCTTGCAGGCCTATTGTAAGGTCTTTAATAAAAATGAAATCTATGATCTAATTGTCAGGTAAGAAAATAATCTCCGCTATAACCTCTAAGTGCCTACGTGCCTCACTCTCTCTGTGTGTGTGTGTGTGTGTTTGTGTTTGTGTATGTGTGTTTGTGTCTGTGTGTATGTGTGTGTGCGTATGCACCAACAAACAAAACGTAAAAAGCTTCCTTTTGTTTCTTATATGTCATCATAGATTTTCGCAAGAAAAACTTGACAGAGAGCTTTATTTTAAAAGTTTATGAATTTTCTTCTAACATTTTCAAGCGAAACTGTTAATCTAACATATTTGCCTTCGCTTTTACTTTCAGTTTTCAGTTCAGGGGTATGCATGCACGTAAGGGCCCTCAGGCAAATGTGCAAAACGTCGCAAAATTTTCGATTTTTAAATATAAGTTATGATGATTATAATTTTCCAAACACTCTACACGAGGAGCTATCGCAAATTTCTCAAATACTTTCTGAAATTGGCATAAAAACGGATGCCGCAGATCCAATAAACTATATCCGTATTTATGCAAAGATCTTTTCTCATTTTTTGTTTACGCATATGCGTATTGGCCGTACTATGCAGGGAAGCAAATCATTGATCGAGAAGGATTGTCGATAGTCGGCGAAGGAACTGTTTAAGGCGCGGAAATTACTATCACTATCCAGGAGAATAAGTTAGGCCGCAAATATTTTTGAATTTAATGAGAAGAAGATTGACCTCAAACAGACATGCCGAGAGACTTTAGTAAATCGAAGCTGCTAGTCATACTGATCAAGTCCATATATATATATATATATATATATATATTTATTTCATTTCATGGTGCCTCTGATTTGCATTATAATGCATTGCAAATATTTCGTAAATTTTATACATAGTTGCAGTGATTATATAATATATAGTTAAGCTTAAGTTAAGTATATGCAAACTCGTTTATGCAATCGTTCACCTAGGTGTTCAATTGACTTTTTCATTGGATAAAGTTGAACTCAATAGATTTCAATAATTTTAATGACCAGTTGTATAGTTGAAGGTAAAATCATAGTCGTTGGCTACACTCTAATTATCTGTTGTTTTCACTGTATCAGAAATAAGCAAGAGGTTAAAGTTAGTTTTAATGACTCAATCATCCATGTCTGTCATCATGTTGTCTGTCTATAACACGTAAAACAACTGTCGTTGTTGACAGACCAGAAAAAAGCCTATCTGAAAATCGTAATACCTTATTGTGTGATAAGTTCGACATCTATGATCTTATCGTGAATGTATCTATGTTTCACGAAAAAGGTTCCCCTTATCCAAGAATCCTCGCAAACCATTGTAGTAAACCTTAATAGTTGTTACCTTACTAAAGATTGTGAAAGCGAACGAGAAATTAAACCAAATTCAAAACATGATTGCTGGTAATAGTCGGTTCAAATTTAGCCTACGGATAAATAGTTTTCTTTTTCGTGGTTATCTTTGCGTAATCGTCGCTACATTAACATAAATTAAATCAGATGAGTTATCGAAATTAGGAAAGATTTGAAGATTGCTAGCATTTCCATTACCCATAAGTGCGACGCCTAACCAAACACAATGAAGAAATGTCCATTTTATTGCTTGTGATCTGATTAAGGAACCTGGGACTCCAGGACCATATTTATTGCTGATCAAATTAAGACCAACTATTTCAAATCTACTTTCGTCACTTTCAAAACAATCTCTCGCAGCCAAAATTTTTCCCAATTCTCGAAACAGTTGTTATAGTCGAATTCCGGTACGGTCGTTGAAGCTTTCTGAGATTCCGCTACGATCTCTGCAAGCAAGTCGAAACATTGTCCCCGAAGTTACCCTTGAATTTAGAAAATAACTAGAGGCTGTATGAGGATAAATCAGGTGAATGCGGTGGCTGGGGAGCGATATAGCTTGAATTTTTAATCAAATTATTTCGAAGATCTAGTGCAGAAATTGAGTGCCTTTGGTACCAATTGGGGTTTGACGTATTTCAAGCCCAAAATGTCCTTTAAGTCTGTGTTGACTCAAATGCCAACAGCGTCAGCAAGGTGCCTAATTGTTGGTGGACGATTTTTGAGCACAAAATCTTTAATTTCTTTAAGAGGGCTCTCTCTCGATCTTTTTTGAACTATATATATATATATATATCTATTTTTTGCGTCGCAAAAAACCAAGCGCAGGTAAAATACTAATGATGTCTATGATGTGAAATTTGGGGCAGACTACTGTCACAGTACTACCGATTTAGAAAAAAAAAATGGTTCTGATGTTCGATATATCTGCGCAACTTATTTTAAAGCTTAGTTTTTGATTTCATAGCATTGTGTGAAATGAAATCGAATAAGTGAAGAAAGTAAACGCATCGCCCTTATGTTTGAGTGTCGATCGCAACAAAGGAACGGGCATATACTAGATTTGCCTTTCGGCAAGCATGCATTGAGGATTTCCGATAAATACGAAATACTTGTGAATAATTTTTTAGGTAATTGTTAGTGGCTACGGATTTGAGACACTTGTATATCGTGGGTGTCTCTCATCTAACCTATTGCAGATTATATGAAGAGTAATGAAAACAATTTTCTTCGATATTTTCGTGTTTTCTTTTTAGAAAAACTTGCCAATCATGTAAATGCCCCCGCGAAGCTCATGCAATTTATCAACAACAAACGACATCAGTACATGAACGCTTAGGCTTCAAAGTCGTTTCGCCGGCTGATTCTGGCGTCGAACCAAGAGATCTGGGCTACACATGGGTGCCACCTGGTATACGTTCCTCTTCGCGTATTAATCGATACTTTGAGCAATTGCCAAATAATAAAGTGCCAAAAATCGGAACTGAAGGAGCGCGTTATCGCGAACAACAGATATCGTATCAGTTGCCCAAACAAGATCTTTCCCTTCAACATTGCAAGCATCTGGAAGATCAGTATGAAGCATCCTATGAAGATTTCGTAACAGCACGCAACGAGATTTCATTGGATATCGGTGAGTAGAGCTCTCCCATCGCTCTTACAATATAATGATGAAATCCTAAATCCGAAACTCGATTTATTTTAAAGGTTATGTTAAAGATGCTCCATATGATGAACATTGCGCCCATTGTGATAACGAGATATCTTTGGGTGAGATGGTAGTGGCGGCACCAAAATTCATCGAAAATATTATGTGGCATCCGCGCTGCTTCACCTGTAATATTTGCAATGAATTACTGATCGATTTAACATATTGCGTACACGAAGATAAGATCTATTGTGAACGTCACTACGCAGAATTGTTGAAACCTCGTTGCGCCGGCTGTGATGAGGTAAGTAGTGCACCTCTCTCTCACCTTCTCACAATATTTTCTCCTATTGCTACGAATTAAATTAAGTTAACCGATAATGTGGAAAAATCACGCAATTCTCTAATCATCCTTAAGTATAAAACGGGCGAACATTAGCAATTATTTATAAGTTGAAAAAAAAAAAAAAGAAGAAGAAGAAGAAGAAATAAACAAAAGAAACTGTTGTCTTAAGGTTACTATCAAAAAAAAAATTGCTTTGCAATTTTCACATACACAGTCACGCGATAGCTAAGACGTAAGTAAATATTGCATAACTGAAATAACACGTTCCTTAAATGCTACAAATACGTGAAATGCAATCATTGTTAAAATTTTAATTTAATTGTTAGAGTCCTCTGACACGAAGGCCATCTCCATTCTGCCTCTTGTCTTGTTGCAATTTTCGCATTACAGGTGCGCCAGCCACAAACTTTTTCACCCGATCACACATATCAGACATAGTATCCTTTTTGCCGAGCATGATTGCTTATTCTTTCGCATTCAACGTTGATTACTTGGAAACGAACGCATTGCGAAACAATACTTTGTCTGCTAAAGAAAGAATTCAAAGTTTCTTTTCCCTTTTTTTTTTTTGTTATTAAATATTATTATAAATATTAGCGGTTCCGCAACCGCATTCTTATTATATTCTATCAAAATTATCAAGGAGACAATAGCGAAAGTAAATTAAGAGGAAAAGCAAGTGTAAAGTAAGTGCATTAATATTATTGATAAATATCTTATTTATAAGATTTGAGAAATCACAGTCAATTGGTGTTATTTAAAGTTATTTAAAATAAGTCAAAGTGGCATAAGAAACGTGAGATTTCATAACAAATAATAAATCTTTCTTCTTTCGATAATAATATGGCAACACCCATTGAGTGAAGTGAACCAACAGAAACAGAAATTGCCCCTTATGTCTTGAAAAAAACGGGAACGAGCCAAGCAATCGAACGCTTCAAAGATAATATTTTAATAAGTTCCAATCTTTTCATTCAATGTTAAACCTATCAAGCATGTTTGGGTTATGTTGAATAAATTCAGTTAATTTTACCGTGCCTTCTCTCTATCTGAAGCTTGGTTATTTTGATAATGAAAAGGATGATTCGATGGACGAAAGAATCAATGATTAGCTTTTTAGAAATAAAATTACTCTTCCTACTTGTATCAAAGTAACACAAACATATGAATCAACTAAATTTTCAAGTTATACTCTTTCGAAAGCTGTGCCTAGATTTGAATAGTTTAAAAGGGGTTCGCCCTTTAGCTATTAAGTAGTCATATTCAAGTTCGACCTCTCGAACTCCGCGAAACAATAGTAGAAGAAAGTAAAAATATTATAATCGGCCATGATTCACAATTAAATACCCTAGACTTGTTCGCTTAATACAATTATCCATGTAACACATGTAACTTATCAAAATAAAGCATTTACCATCCGTCCTTGAGGCAGAGAGTACACATTGTTGTACCAAATTTTATCAAAATATTTTCAAAATTCCGACCTACAGATTGCATAAAAAAATACGTGCAAAGACATTAGACGCATAGGGGGACAGACAAGCGATTCTGAATCGGTCGGCATAATCAAAGGTCGGCTTCCGGGTGTTGTATGCATCCGCGATGTAAAGTATAGAAATCTGACCTGTCATCAATCCGTGATGCATTGTATTTTGTTTATATCGGTTTACGCTGCTCGGCCATGTTTAACTTAAACAAATGACAAAATTTCTTTTCTAAAAGTTACATGTTTTCTCTCTCTCTCTCTCTCTCTCTCTCTATCGAATACGAATAGTTCAACGTATCGTTATTATTTATTGTGGATGAGTTATAACTGCCCGCCTTATTCTGAGCGGCCTTCTATTTGCTCCTTTTTTTACAACTCTATTTATGATTTGCATAAAGTAAGAAGCTTGTGTTAGTGCAAAATTGTTATTGAAAGATTTTATTATTGCCACGTCTGTTTCGGAACACTTTATTCGATAGCAAGTGACTCAGACCTGGACAAGCAAAACACAAACACTAATTTTACGACCGCTGATCAATAAAAATGTCAAAATAATGAATTAATTCAGTGTTATGTAGTGTAATTTTGGAAACTAGAGGTTAGCACTAAGTACTCCTTCTTAGTACATTTCGCTATTGGTTGTTTAATATCTCGTCCTTATACCCTGCAATACATGTGGTACAAGAGTTTATTAGGTTCGACGTAGACGCTAAGTGCACCGCTGCATTCAGCTAAGTGCGCTGTAGCTAGTAGTCTCTCTCTCTCTCTCTCTTTCTCAAAACTTATGCGCAATTTTCGAGTTATTTCATATTTACATTTGCACTTACACTAAAAAGGTATGTAAGACCTTCGTCCTGGAAAATTTCCACACTGAAAAAATGGTAATTTTGCAATGCAGTTTTAGCCAATATTTTACTTACTTTTTGATATTGATTTTTTGAATTCCGGCTTAGGTAACCTCTTCTCCTTTTCTTTTTTAATGCAATTATAATTGTTAAGACCTTTACATCAGAATGATTATTATTTTATTGTGCTACTTAAACTGAAAAGATCTCGCCGCTTGAGGGAAATTAATGAGATGACAGCGATTTTATTATATATTCCATAAAGCAATTTGTACGTTTATAATAATATTCAAAAATTATAATTCATATTATTGGTAGAAGAACTTATCTAATTTCGGAACAAAAACAGTAACAGACATTACTCGCTTTGTTGGTTTACATTCATAAGAGCTTCGATCGCACATATTCTATACCGTGGTTATTACATAGTATACTCAGGATTTACAGGCGAGCAAAATTATTATATCTTCATTTGCTGTGACCTATGATAAAACCTTGTCGCAGCGATTTCAAACGAATAAGAAAATTATATCCTTGTAGTCTTCCTGCCAGGTCGAAACAATACCTAAAACCTTTAAAGTGTTGCACCGACTACGGGCAAGTCTACCAAGTCATATATCGTCGATTCGAACTTCAAGTGCTGCAGTAGCGTTTCCCTTGGCCGCGGCTATAATGAGTCGTTTATCGATAATTCCATAACACTTACCCATATTTACACGCATTACACTTTTATTACCACCGCTCTATCTGTCTCTCTCTCTCTTTCGTCAATTCTTTCTAACCTTCACCGTGACACGGCGGATAGGAGACATTGATCAAATAAAAAAAAAGCGGAATTTTTTTTACGGTAAAATTAATTTATTTAGCCATAAATTCACATTCAATTTAAAAATCATCGTAGATTCGTATCGGGATTGGTTTTCATATTCTACATCGCTTGTGGTACAAGGTTGTATTAAGTTTGAGATAAACCCACGTTTTAGAATACGATTCTGAATCGATCGATGCTTGTCCGGCCGATTGTCCATCCGTCTGTCTTCTTTCTTGTGTTCAATCTACACAACCCAAATTTTTCAGATAATTTAATGAAATTTGCTTCACCCAGATGCTTTGGCCCAAGGACGCATTATTTTAAAAAGTCAATATATGTATAACAGTAGGGTATATTTAATGTTGAGCCATGCCACACCATAGTGTTTTTACTTGTTCTTTGCACTCCTTCGAAAATAATATCTAACATATATATGAAAGGGAAGCAATCTTGCGATAAAAGTAGGAGTGTCGCCATACCATACCGCTCATCAAATGCGGCAAAGACTCTCCTTCGTATCGAACATGCTGCATACTTTAAATTAAAATTAATTATCTCTGTGGTTATCCGGTATTCTCTTCCGATTATATTACGAAGGTGCTGCAGCCTACAATGACGTGAACAAGATCATCCATAGGTGCTCTTAATCAAATATATACATGTATAATTAGGTTCAATTTCTATGAATTAAAAATATCGGAGACGTCTTCTTCGATATGAGATCTCCTCATTTTGAAGGCAAAAGAAGAACTTAAATTTCTTACCCCTTTCAACCTTTTTCATGTTTACCATGGCTACTACGCTATGAACTGTTGAAGATATTGAGTACGTTTTTATAAAATATATTTAGTAAAATATTATTCAAATTTTGCAACAAACATACCGTACCGACGCGTATCGCCGATGCAACTTTGACGGCGACATGCATCAAATTTGATAGTCAAGTCTTCATTGCACGGAGTGTAATGGAAAGGATTGGTTCGACGTAAAAAATCTTTCAAAACATTTGTATATTATACTCAGTTTTCCTCAGGAAAACTTTTTATGGGACTTTGGAAATTTGCTCATCCTTGCGGTAGTGATTGATTTATGTTGAAAACATAGTCAAAAAGTCCCCTAAAATGTTTTTACGACAAAAACCCTATGTATGTTGCACACAATTGGAAATTGGTTGTTCAGTAACGACTCATGTAAAGTTAGTGCCATTTTTTCACAGTCCTTGGTTTGGCCACACCAATGAAGTAAACTGTCGCTTTTTCAATCTCATATTTAACTTTGTAGAAAGACTTTCTCATATCAAATTTTAATTAATTAACGTAAAGTAATGATTTATTTGTATACTTTTTTTTAGAAGAATTCTGAAGTAGTTCTACTTTAAGTAATCTATTGATTAAAAACTAAATTAGAAAACTGTTTTCCAACCAAACTGGGAAAACTACGTGAAATTACGCAACATAATTTCAATTGTGTTGAACGCTTTTAATACCCATCCCCGCTTTGAAATGTCAATGGCCTAACTCTTCGTTCTTTAATGGGTCAAATGTTTTCCTCACTTGATAAATCCTCTTGGCGATTTTCGATCGTAGCCTCTTTCTCCAGCTATGCTAAAACCTCTCTAAACGGGCCTAAGCAGTTTTGTAACTTTCTTTTAAACCTTGCGCTGCTCGTCGTAGGACAATCACTTTGAGCGACATGAAGTTGTCGTTCTTTAAGCAAATTTAGACCTTTTCTCATATCACATAACTCGAGATTTGGCATCCGTTCAATTTCCATATCTCCATTAGCCAATGCATTGAAGGTAGATGCATCGACTAATTCTATCAGTGCTTCCTTAAGTAGGCTTCGTTGCTGAAGTCTTCCACATCCTGATGGTTTATTGAAACTCTTCCGCCGCTTAACCGAGATTTCTGCAATTGGGAGTCAAGTATCATTTCTTGCTCGCAACATTTGAGTTGAAAGAGATTTCCCGCATATATTAAATGTTGATCCTTTCATTTCCGTACAATCTGATGGCAGTTCTATTTTTATCTCTTTTCGAATCTGTCGAAAATGTTTTGGAAGAACCGGCGTTTGTATTGCACTTTCAAAGTTGAGTGAATGACTCGTTGGTCGAAAGGTTGTATTAATGACGTGCAGTTGGAAGGAGGGAAAACCATTTTTGCATTTGGATGATCCAGTTTCGTGTTGTGGCAATTAGTGTTTTCAGCAACTACCAAACTTTAAAATACAAATTTCTTTTATCCTTAAATAAATTTTGTGTCACCCAAGGTATTTTATTTAATCGACAGTGTATAGGCAATTAAATCCTATGAATGTTTGTCATTATACTAAGAGTTGAAGAATGATTTATTATCATTGGTTTTATCATCTTCTTACCCCCCAAATAAGTTGATGATGAGATGTTGTTGAACTGAAAATCGCGTTTTAAGAGTAGTGCGTTGTAGGAGCGCTCTCGCAATTTTGGCTCTGCGTTGTAGGGAGTTTGACTGTAAATATAACTTCACACCCTTCATTTCTCATTCATCGTTACAAATTATCGAAAACAGTGTGTAGAACAAAAATGTATGCGTCCTAATAATGCTAATTAGTTGAATTGTCGTAACTACTGAGTATGAGTGAATGCATATCACACTTTAAGAGGTAGATGTAGGGTACGGGTGAAAGCACGTAGCAAATTATTTTAAAATTTCAAATCCAAATCGACACAACAGCAACGCAAAATGTTTGTCGTCAAAAATTTTGCTTGCTTAAGGTCACCAAACACAAAATAAAACGAAATAAGTTTTGTTTTTTTTTTTTTTTTTTTTTTTGTTCGTTTGTTTTTAAATACTAACGCATTAAATAGAATGCAAGCTAGAGAGAAATCGAATGAAAATCTTAGACATGTCCATATATAAAATACAAGTGTAAACAGAAATAATTAAACATTAATGACGTACGTCGGTCAGTTTGGTTAATTTTGTGCAGAGGATTTGTTGCGCGCGCGTATGTGTGCGTGTGTGTGTGTGTATGTGCGTATATATATATATATATGCGCGTATTTTCTTAAAGCATTTGAAGGTGCAACTGAAATATTTTATTTTCATTGGCATTTGTTAGCCAGAAAACGCAACGTTTATATCTCGGGATCGTTGCTTATTTTAGTTTTCTTTTAATTTTTTTTGTACACAACGAAAACGAAATTCATTTCAATTTATTCGAGTGTGTTGATATTTAAGTTTTCGTCAGCTTTTTTTACACGCTCCAAGTGAAAATTACCCACACATACACTCTTCAGTGATTCATTGTTGTCTCTTTTTATTTTATTTTATTTATTTTTATTTTTTTTTTTTTCATCTACGTGAACTTTCTTTGATTGCGCTTTAAATTTCTAATTGACCGCGCGGAAACGATTGCTCCTTCAATCAATTGCCAAAATTACTTTGGATTGATTAGTTGCAAAACGATCGATTAACACGAAACATCTTCGATATCAATAGAACCGCTCGCTTATTACTAATTACTTAGTGGTTGATTGCTCGACGTCCGGCTAGCTAACAATTTCGACGCTCACTATAGTGCTCAATCTCTTGAAATCAACACCAATATCAATATTACGCTAATTCGTCGCCGTCATCTTTACTATTATTATTATTATTTTTAGTTAAAAGTTAGTCTTAATTCAACTAATTCTCTTGAAAGTGTTCGAAATACGTAAGGAATTCAATTTGGCTATATATATATATATATATATATATATATATAAAACGTGAAAGCGCATTTTTGCTGCACCAAAAAACTCAAGTGGCCATCATAATTAATTTTGTGAGTTTGTTTTCTTCGTAAGTTTTGCATGTTTCGCGACAAAATTACACAATCGACATTACAGTGAAATTTTATATAATCCAAATGTATATACATACATATATAAGAATTCAATAGAACTCAGTTTAAAATAGTGCTCAGAGTTTATGTGCGATTCGAATTATTGCCGCCACAATTGGAGCCTCAGTTTTATTTAAAATTTTCTAAGCAATTTCATTGAAAATCGCCAATTATTGGTTATGCAATTATTGTGAATCTTTGCATCTACGCATCGCATTCGATAATTTCTTTGCAATCAGTATAACAATGGGCGATTTATTTGCGGGCATTGGTGATTTAGTGTTTACACTAGTCATTGGCTATATAGGTGCCATTGAATTTCTTTATGTGGTACGTCATCTTTATCACTGGTCGTGCAATCATGACGATGAGTTAGGCATAAATGACGCCGAACATTTGGATCGTTTGCAAGAAAACATGCGGACTCAGCTGATTGATGCAAGTAATAGAGAGGCCAATGCCGGAACTAATGCGATGAAAGACGGAGTCTTCTATAAGGATGGTTTTCGAATAGATCCAGGGCAAGAGGATATAGACCGGCTAAGTGACGAGTATCGCAAGAAAGGAGAAAAAGATGAACATCGCAGAAAACTTGAAGAAGAGTTAGCGCGACAACAGAAAATAAAAGAGCAAACACAGAGAGAACTTGAAGAGGCCGAAGCTTTATTGGCACGACAGCAACGTGAAGATGCAGAAAATGCTCGAAAACTTAGCGAAGCGAAAAAGCTTAAGGAAGAAAAACAAGCAGAACAAGAAGCCATAGAAAATGATCGTAAACATAAGGAATTAGAAAAACGACGACAAGCAGAGCAGCAAAAGAAAGCCGAGGAAGAAGCACGTAAAAAAGAAGAGTTGGAACGACAAAAAGCGATAGAGTTGGAACAGCAGCGCCTACGAGATAAACTCGAGACCGAAGAGAATTTCAAAAGACTCTTGGCAGCTGAAAAACAATATGAAAAAGATCAGGAACTGGCTGAAAAACAATTAACTCATGTTGGCAGTGATGAACCTAAAGAGGATGAACCTCACCTGAGTGGTGCATTAGCGAGAGAACATGGGGATGAGAAAAAAGAAGACGTGCTCTTAAAACAAATTCTAGAAGCTAAAGCTCTATTATCGGAAGAGTCTGATGATAATGAAGAAGCTCAACGTCTTTTTCAAATCGAAAAGGATCGAGAATCGAGGCAAAAGCTTATAGATCACAACGCTTTGCTTTTTTTGGAAGCTGAAAAGGAAATGGCTGAGTTGCAAAAACAAATGTTGGAGGCAGTAGAAAAACGTGAATTTACACAAAATCTTGAAAGTGCGCCACAAACGCCAGTAATCGAAGAACCATGCGTTAAGAAGATTATAAAGCCTCTTAATACAGATGATCCTTTTAAACCGTTAACGCAAACGGTAAAAACTCAGCTGTCCCAAACACAAGATACACCATATTCCGCAACTCCAAAAGCGCTACATTTTCCAGGAATAGCTGATAATGCTTCCTCTGCAGAAGACAGCATAAGCCAACAACTACCAATAAGCGCTCAACCGTCGAAAGAAATAACCGCCGCTGGCATTGCCGAACAATTGCCATATTCAGATAGTGAACGTGAAAGGCCTGAAGGCGAAGACAATACTTCTCAACAAGAATATAGTGAGGAGTATTTACGTTCTCTCGACGGTATAAAACATAGACCCCTTGTGCGTGAGGATGGTTCAGGACGTCGAAGAGCATTTAAAAAACGTCGGTCTAGTGGCAGTTCAAACTCGTCTCGTGACTCTCGCACTTCGCGTGAAGAAGAGTTGAAAATGTTTACTTCTTTAGAGGAAGAAGAAATGAAAAACAAAGATGATAGCGATTTCACACCTATAAGGTACACAAGTGAACCTACTTTAAAAGTGAAAGGCCATCACAGGCGGCATAAACGCAGTCCAGTTAAGGATTCGAAAGCGAGTGAAGAGAGCTCAACTGGTTCTTTAGAGCGATTAGGCGAAGAGACAGTTGATCCGTGGGGTGAAGTAATGCAAGCGCCCTATAAAGAAACGGAATTTTGGAGAAGAGAGAAAGCATTTTCCATAGACGAAGAAGAAATTGATTTGGAACGACTCACTTCCAGCGGTGAACAAACCTTTGAGACTGCCACAAATGTACCAAGCGCATCTTCGTTTGAGGATGCCACTCAAACACAGAATATAGAAGCTATAACCAATTTGCAAAAGCAAACCGGCAAATCAACAACGGTAAGTATTGAATGATTTCAAATTTTGGCAGTAAATTTTAAAATCACTTATCAATTTGCAGGATGACCGGCATATAGAATCTATTCAAGAAGATGCCACAGGAAAAGGCGAAAAAGCAAACGTAAGTTTGATATTTTTAAAGCTTTCAATGAGTTTTTATAATTTTACAAATATTATTAAATGCTATGCTTTTACGTTGCTATGAACGCTTGACTTTCAATCTCCCAGGTAACGGAGGAAAGTTCATCTTCTCCTCAAACTTCTGCTTCCCCTGGCTTAAACCTAATTCCTCATGGCGTTGACATGGAACCCTCAGCCACAACCGTAAGTCCCCCAACTATTAAAGTACAACCATCTTCTGATTTCGGCCCTTGGAGAGATGAACATGATTTGATTATGGAGGGCCTAAGCGATTTTTATGATTTTTCCGCTTCAGTTAATCCATCCCGTTCAAGATCAACTTCTAGAAATCCATCGGAGGCAAAATCACCCTGCCCTACACCAAAAGCTAATTCTCCAAGACCTAAAAATGTATCATTCGACTTCAATGCTGAAGGCGCCGGCAATTCGTCCATAGAGATCTACGACGATACAGATGCCAATACCGAAATAACGCCAGAAAATATTTCAAATTTTCTTGAATCTCTTGACAAAATTCAAAAGGAATATGAAATAAAAACGCAGAGTGCAGAGTTCAGCAACATTCCCAATGATAATTTAGAACTAAAGATTGTACCTATCGTGAATAACATGGACGACAGTAATGAGAACGAAATCGGTTCCGACGATGTCAATTCTTTAGTTGAAAGTCTAAGAGCCCAACGTTGCAGATCACGGTCGAGATCGCGTTCGCCTCTACCTACAGCCGATAATATTCAACGAGGCCTAGAAACACGACGAAATAAATTAATTAAACATAATGAAGAAATTAAAGAGAAACTTATAGAATCTCAAATGTTACCGAAGTCACAAGCTAGTCTTACAGAAGACGAGAGCTTTTCAAAGGAAAGCGTTAATCTTTTAGTACAATCGCTGCGCTCAGACAAAAGCAGATCAAGATCGCATTCCCCATTACCAACCGCTGACAATATACAACGTAGTTTGGAACATCGTCGAAATAAGCTTATCCAAAAAAATGACGAGTTTTATGAAGCGCTTATCGCAACAGAATCCAACATATCCCAAATTATTAACATGCCTTGTATTTTAATTGAATCGGCCGAATCAGTAGACCGCGAAAACGAAAATTGTTCGTCGCCTCGTTCTGATACGAAGCCCACGATATCAGTAGAAATTACAGAAACGGCAACAGCCGTTAATCAGGACGATGAAGATTGCTCTCGCGAACAAATGGAGAATCTTATACAATCGTTACGCATCGGCAGGAGTCGATCACGATCTAGGAGCCCTCTTCCTCCCACAACAGCAGCTGTTGATATAATTGCTGAAAGGAACGAACAATATATCCCCGACAATATTGGTGATCGTTATAATTCCCGATCACGTACTCCATCACGATCATTATCTCCGGAGTTAGATATTAATAACACTTTAAATGAACAGCAACAACGTCTTTTAGATCAAGAGGCTCTCGAGAAACTTAAAAATGCTTCTGAAGAAATCGAACTTAAAATCTTGCCTCCTTTGAACTTTAGTAATAAAACCAATGAAGACTTAAGAAATGAAAATTTGGAACATACACCTACTAATGAGGAAAAAGCCGTTTATCAATCCTCAACAACTCCAGATTATGATCGCACTCTGTCAGAAGAAGCAAGGGACGTAGAACGCATCAAGGCTGAAATGTTGGCTAAAGGTTTTCGGCGTTCTACGTATGCAGGAGAATCAATGGACTTGGGTAGTGAATATGAATCATTACGGCGGGAAACAGCGCAATTTCGACGTTCTTTAAGTCCAACCCCTGAAGATCCTTTGGCATATTCCAGCGCGGCTGAAAAACGTAAAATTCAGGATATAATTTTGACTGAATTAATTGCGTCAGGCGACAGTGACGAATCCTCTGCGTTAAAATTTGAATCAAATAAAACGGGAGCTATACCGAAAGTCTATGACGCGGATATATCAACAACAACAAGGTCTTTAGATCAATATGAAAAATTGCGCCGTAGAAATGCTGAATTTCGACGTTCTGGAAGCAAAAGTCGTTCTCCTTTAGCCGAGGAGCAATTGCAAGGATTGGCTGCTATTGAAGCGGAAGCAGCAATTAGAGAATTGAAAGATAAAATACTTGACGAAATTGGTGGCACATCTGAGAATTTTAAGGATTTTTCTCGTCATTTAAACGTTGATTTTTTTGATCATGATCGGAGAGCATCCGATTCAGCTATTATACAGAAGCCTGATCTAATGATTCAACTGCAAGATCACGATCCAGATCTTTTTATGGATCCCGAGGAATACCACCATTTTCGAAGATTTTCATTGTACCAGGATGAACAGCCAACAGAGGATTATCCTAGTGATGAATACGTATACATTCAACAAGTGGAGATTCGAACGCAGAGCGGTTCTAGAACGTGGATTAGCGAGGACTATTATGGTGAAGAGATAGGTACGTTTGATGTCAACAATATTGAACCACCAAGCGATTACGGCGGAGAAAAAAAACTCCTGAAGTTGCAAGCAAACAAAGATCTTAAGGTTTCTGAACTTAATTCTGAAGATAATATAAATGAAGTTGAGTTGAAGCGTGACATCCAATCTGAAAATGTTTTTCACGACGATTATGAAGAAGATGACACAAATGGCAGCGAAGACGAAAGACAAACTGTTGTCGAAGTTGAAGATGAAATTGACGAGGACATATCAGATTTTAACGATCGTGGGCCAGCTGAAGAGTCCCATCATGAACAATCTGAATGCGAAGAGGCCGAAAGAGAGATGGATCGCTACGCAAACAGGGACGCTCGCGATTGGGAGGCGGTGGTCAATGTAGATGATATTCTGTTAAATGCCAGAGAAGAAGAAAGTGGAGCAGTTGGCGATAATAGTAGCGCTCAGTCGTATGACTCAGACTCTGTCACAATTGATCAAATTTATGACGAAGCTGTGAAAAATCGGAAACAATCCGGCATATTGCGTGACTACGACACAATCTTACAAGAAATGTCCAATAATTTTATGAGAAACACTGACGATGACAATGACGAGGACGTCTTACCAGCTAATATTTGTGGAATGGAAAAACCAAAGGATATTGAATGTAAACTCAACCCAACGGACAAAGATTGTAGACAACTAGACGTACATTACTTGGATAACGTTTTACACTCTGCGCGATCGCGCTATGGTTATAATCCATTACTCGGGACTACCAAATCTCACAGCAATGAAGTGGATGACGGTATAAATTACACGCCGAAAAAAGAATACAATTGGCGTAAAAATTTCAAATTGGACGATGATATCGATTCGAAAGCAAACGACGACACTATAAGACACACATCGCCAGAAAATGAAAACCAGATTGTAGAAAAAAATCAACGAAATGAAACTGAAGAGAAGCAATCCGATATGAAGCCATTAGATTGCGAGGAAAAAAACGTGTGCGATTTTAATCAAAGTTCAGAAAAAGAATTACATTTCGGAAATGGTGCGGTACAAGAGGAAAAATGTAAAGATTCGGAGGCGAAAGCGATTAGGCCCTACGTTGACCAGGAGCCAGAAAAACCCAAACAAAAGAAGAAAACAAAAAAAAAATCATGTAAGGACACGAAGACTATCGCTGAAATTCTTAATATGGATGAAGACGATTCGGAATATCAGGTCACTTACAGTAGACGCAGCAGTAGTATTCAATTGGAAACTGACTCACCGAAGCGGAAATCTCGTTCGCGTCGTAGTTCAAAGAGTAGTCTCTCTAACGATACTCCTGCCAGTCCATTCTCGCCCCGAGGTAGTATTGGCTATGACTTTGACGATGCAACAAACGAGACTATGGAAAACAAAGCAGCTACTAAGAGTAAAAAGACCAAAAAACGTAAGAAAGTTAAGGATATCTTTAACGAAACAATGGAAAGTCATGCGGAACACAATGATGAATTGCCAAAAGAGGAAATTCCAATTGCAAATGAAACGGAAGAATCGCACGCGAATGAAAACCCTTTAATTGATTGCCCAATCGATAAAACAACGAATGACTGGAATGAAGAAAATGCAATTGAAACTACGGTGGCTACTGTCGCTGAATCAGAAAATCTATCCAACACGAATGCACGTCGTAATGCGCTTGATACCCTGGATATACTGAAGGATGCAAATTTCTATCCTCTCTTCTAACTCGACCGTACAAGTAACTTTGATTGTCTCATAGAGTGTCGTGTTCACGTTTTTCGTTCGAAGTTGTAATAACAGTTCCTAGTCAGTTTCGTTAAAATTTCTCTTCACCACATGAATAACAAAAATTTTTCTCCTCATAACGTTCTTTGTTTAGAATTTTCTTTGTATATTTATACGTATGTCAATTTGTTTATAAGCTTCTTTTAATTATTTTTTCAAATTTTTTTTTATTTATTTATTTACTTTTTTTTTTTTTTACTTTTTTTTTATAGACATGATCATGAAACTCACTGTAGCAAATGCACAAATATTCCTGTCCCATCCCGTCCGCAAAACGCGTCGCATTCGCAGCAAACACCAAACAATACATTGTGATGATATGCAAATGGCTCTCTTGCTCTCTTTCTCTCTCTCTATATATATGTATATATATATATATAAATATATATCTGCTCACATAATCACACATACACGCACACATGCATCTAGATCAAGGTATTTTACTCTTGTATGAGTAGATGCACAAAACATCAAATAAAGTAAAAATACACAGCAGACAACAGAGAGTGATGTGGTCACTATTGTATGAATCCTTCTCACACGCAAACATACCCATACGAAATGTAACAGACAACAGCAACAAGTTGATTACTTAGTTTTATTAATTAGAGATAAATACATTAAATGAAACGAAAGCAAATATTGTGTTTAATATTGATTCCTAACTAAGGCGAAGAGGTTACATTAAATATATATATATATATATATGTAAAAAAAAAACGCACTATGGATATTTAACATCCAAATCTATAGAGTCCTTTCGTAAAATATTTTTATATTGCTTTGGTAAATACTTGAACTTTGTATTAAGCAAAACACAATCGAATTTTTTTTTTTACCCCTTCTTCAGTTCTTCATTTATTGTAGGAGTAAGGATGCGATTAAAAACGGCATCACCAAGTTCATATCGATTCATGCACGGAATTAATTTACATGATAAGTCACAAGCGAAATGAGAAAATTAATGCATAAGTGTTCAATTAATTCTGAATCATTTTACCGAAATACATGCAAATGAATATAATTTTTTGCCTCATAATTCAAATAGTAAGGTGACTTCATATTTATGACGTGTACTTCTTTATTTTGCGATGATATTTAAACTTTTTCTATTTATTTTTTTTAATTTTATACGAGAAGAATTATAAATACAAAAAGTTATTAAGCTGTGTAGCGAAAATATTTTAATATTGTTGGTGCCCTAATGTATGCTATATTTTATAATAATTTTGAGAATTTTGCGCACACCACACAAAATCGTATATCTATATATGTAAGTTATGGAATCGTGCCATGCGCCAAAGTGTTATTGACTTGAGTCAGCATAACAGAAATGCTTCACACACTTACCGTACGTAATGAAGGAAAAAAAATTCAATTCTTTAAAGTAACTAAGTATATTTTAAAATCGACGATATTATTTATGAGGAAAATCTTTTCATATGTATATCATAAACATTTCAGAATCCATATTACTCGACATGCCTTAAATGCGTAGTAAAATAAATAAATACATAAAAAATTTTCATGCGATTCTATATAGAATTCTTAGCAATGCGTCATAACTCATAGCTAAGATTCATGACTTGGTCATGTGTCAAAATCAAACCTCATCACCTTCATAACCTTTGCTTCTTCTTGAAGCATCTTTCCTTTTGTTTCTACAGACTCGATGACGTGATCTAACGTCAAATATCTAATCTAATGAGCAAAATTTATTCGAATAAATGCGTTTGCCGTTGTACTATCTCTAATGCTCCCGATTGAAAACTTTTCGATAACCATTAGAGAGTAGTAATGCGGTTCCTTAAAATGCAATATTATCTTATAATTTTTGTCACGTTTTTATACTCACACTTACTTGAAACGTGAAGGTATATTCATTTCGTCAAAGCGTTGACAACTCGCACAAGGAAACTTCAAAGAGCCTGTAAAGTAAATATATATATTTGGGGCGATTTAAGGATGTTTCTCTGTTATGTTTGTTGTACTCGTAGCGTACACTCTCGTAGCTGCACAAACATTACGACATCAACTTTAAACTTCGCAAAAGTATTTACATTTCTTGTAGGCAAATTGGTATTGGAAATGGAGGAAATTTGCCAAAACTCAAGGTCATTGTACAACATAAATTAAGAGCGTCTCAGCTTTCAAATGCAAGCAAAAAAAAAATATAAACGATCCGGAAAATCGGCAGCCCGAACATTGCCCTATTACAGGGTATACGACAAGCAGCGTATAGCTTGCACAACAAGCAAGTTGGTTTACAAAAAAAAGAAGTTAAACACAATCCTGCCACGCCCGTAGAAATACCGAATACATTTAAAGTAACTATACAGTTCAGATACCATCAACCGTAAAGATTAGAAGTAAAACAGAAATTTCTTCAAAATTGTAACTGGAAACTGGAAACTCGAAACTAGATATTTTAAACGTGCTTTTCCGAAACCAAATTTTTCGAGGTTACTATACAACTATACAGCCCTTCAAGTTTAATTGCAGCCGCAAAATAAGGCTCAGTAAAGAGCAGCAATCGATTTCTTATAGTGGACAGCGAGCTTTTCAAAAAAAAATAAAAAATTTCAAATCAATGCCATTTTTTTAAATCAATTGAAAAACGAATGGATCATTAGAATTTTAATTAAATTAGATTAGAAGAATCATTAGATTTTGTATCGTATTTTCAAAAAATTTTTGGTTTGCTATGCTAGATGCAAACATGTGACGTATAACAGATAAGAGCAATACGACCATTAACTGTCTTTCACTTCGCTGACCACAGTTATTCATAAATATCTATAAACATATATATATAACGATTTTTCAAAAGAAGACGTTATATATGGGAAATAGTCGAAAAAGTGGTCCGATCCAAACCATTTCGAATAGGGTTCGTCCTTGAGTCAAAGAACGTCGATGTAACCAAATGCATCAAATTATCTCAAAAATTGCTTCCTGTAGTTCGAGCAAAGGAGTACAAGGCGAAGAGACGGATAGACAAGGATTGACCGATTCAGAAAGTCATTCGGTATCGATCAGTATAATAATAGTTACACATATGCCATTATCAAGCGTATATACGGCATTGTTTTCAAAGACATGCAATGCTGTCTCCATTTTTGTTCTTAGAATGTAAACTAAAAGAAATTGTTTTTGTACTTTAACACTTGTACTTTGATATGTGAAAATTGGCAAATAATTAATCGAATCTGTTTATTTCATTGTTTTCGTGAGAAAAATATTCTAATTTTTATGGGGCACAACGACGGGTATTATTTCTTAAGAAGTCATGTCAGTTTTTATGATTATTTTCTTGAAAGTTTTAAAAAACCGATCTTTTCATTTCTGGCAATATATTTATGTGTTTTACTTATATATATATATATGTATATGTATCTTATGTAGAATAGGAAGTGAATTGCTATGGAGGCATTCGTACTGAAAACAAGTTACGTACACATTATAACTATATATAATACGTTTGTATATAGGATTTTCTGTGTTTTATTTTCAACTTGAAATGAATCAATAATGACTGTCACTTTTTTTCATGTTTTTTTGTCAATTTGCCAAAAAAATAAAAAATAAAAATAAAAAAAAAAATACTCTAGAAAATCTGCTGTCACTGCACTGCTTTCCAACTGTGATGGTATGGAGTGAGGGTAACGGAACCATCATCTTTTTACAGTTCTGACAACAACAGACATTGAAAACACAAAAGTGTGTCAAAGTGTATAAATAAATATATTGTAGATTAGTATATAACATACATACACAATAAATCCACATATTATTAATTTTAAATCTCAGGTTCGCATACAAGCACCAACTAGCGTACAGCGATAATTACATATTTCTTCTTTTTCCCAATCATTTTACAACTTTTCAGAACAAATTTTCCATAAATACTTTGGTTTGATCACTTCTGGTCCCGGAATATATTTCTTTTTCTTAACTTATGGCATGCAGCATAGCAGCAGTAGCGTCCATGCAACAAGAATTAATTCTTAAGCTAATCATCTTAGTATATTTAGTATAAACTAAAGAGAAACGGGTAAGAAAACTACATTCAAGTTGGGGCTAATCCTCATTACCTCAGTCACCTGAATAATTGCAAGACAGTTGGATTAACTGAACATGATGTTCAAGGGTCAATGTGCGCCACGTGCTTTTAGCAAGCCCTGTTAGATTCTTATGTAAAATCTTAGGACCAATACCTGCTAGCAAGCATTTAAAATATTTTTAATTTTGTATTTATTCGGTTAGTGTGGACTTATTTGGATTTAAATGGATTTCTTTGTTAATTTCTTGCATTTTAAAATTTTCATAAATAGTTTTCAGATCTGTGAAAAGAAAAATGAACGAATGTAAATAAATTCGCTGAAAATATTATGCTAATCAGGAACATACAAAACTTAAGGTCTTCTCTTGTATTTTCTATACTAGGCGAGAGTTCTCTGTTATACATATCTACCATTAACGCTAGAAATATTTCACAAATTTATTATCCATTATTATCCAGTAGAAGAAATAAGAAAGCCATAGAAGGATTTAATGCTTAGAACTAATAACATAATCTATGTATCAGTACATCTATCCTTTGTCGATTATCTCAATTGAAATTTCTAGGAATATAGGTAGAAATGGATTTACATCGTTACTCATTCGAATTCCACTGACAAGATATGAAAAATGATGAGATGAGATTTGCAGACAAATCGGTTCGCAATTGTTAAACATTAAAGAGAACAAAATAAAAACAGTGCAGCAGCCCACGATTGATCATTAAATACCCTATACCGTCCTATCAGTTGTTCGTATAAAGACATTTCAGCGATTTTGCGTTTGCCGTTTGTAGGATGAACACAAAAAAAACTAGACTGACGGACACATAAGCCTAAATCAATTCAGCAAATGATTCTGAATCGATCAGT